GTGTCCCCTTTTGCCCTGAGCTATTCCCATTTCCTATATCCTCCTATCACAAGTTCATGCTTATTACCATTCTTATTTCGATGTAGAGTGATGTGCTCCTTTGAGCGGCATTCATGAAAGCCATTCACACTCTACGCTGTCGTTCTCACCCTCTCCACCCTTGTGCTAGGAATCTGGATCAGAGTCTGCCATATTGTTACACAGTCCTTTCCTAGATCTATCACTGTCTCTCTCTTTCCCCGTAAGATCCGTCTGCTCTCTCACTGGTTCACGTATTTCATTCGACCCCTGCCCTCCCCTGCGTCTGGGTAACTAATTCTAGGCTCAAGCCTCTGAGTAAGTCTCATCGTCAAGCCTTTGCTACCACGTCTCTGGTACCACCTACTGTCAGCCAACTAGCTCCAGTCTCCGCCGCGTCCATCCTGTCTCTATCCTTAATACCAAGTCTATGACTTTTTGTGCCCAAGTCTCTTGTGTTCCAACCCACAAATGTTGTGGTATTGCTTGCTTTGATTAGGTTCAATGTTGAACCACAACGTTTGTAGGTTGGCACACAAGAGACTGGGGCATAGGAAGTCATAGACTTGGAATTAGGGATAGAAAGACAATAGACGCGGCGAAGATTGGAGCTAGTTGGCTGATAGTAGGTTTGTTGTACCATAGACGTGGTTCATGTAGCAAAGGCTCGACGATGAGTCTTAATCAGAGGCCTGAGCCTCGAATTTGTCACTCAGACAGAGAGGAGGGCTAATAACGCCTCGAGTAGAACAGATGGGGTTGAAGGCGTCAATGGAAATACGTGAACCAAGGAGAGAGCAGACGGATCTTACGGGGCAAGAGAAACTGTGATAAGGCCTATGAAGGAGGACTGTGTAAAAATATGGCAGACTCTGATCAAAATTCCCAGCACAAGGTTGAAGGGTTTTCATAAATGCCGCTCGAAGGAGTACACCATACTATATCGAAATAAGCGAGGTAAAAATTTTAACAGTGAAGGCGTGATATTAGGATATAGGAAATGTGAATATCCCAGGGCAGAAGGGGACATACCAAAACTATTTAGCACACGTTTGATCAAAGGATCGGGTTCACTTGTCTCTGACGAGTTGTTGTGTGGTGCTAAGAATGGCGAGACTTACTGACGATGCCAGCGAAACGTCTGCGAATGTACCACGTCCACGGTCCTACTCTAGAAATGATCATGCACACAATGGACTATGGACTAAGTGCGTTCATCTAAGTCTTCCTACCAATATGACCAAGTTGCGAAAACAAGGTCAAACAACTTCTATACGATGCGTTTCTATAAGTCTTCCTACCATTATGACCAAGTTGCGAAAACAAGGTCAAACAACTTCTATACAACAAAAGGAGACTGCGACCACACAAAAGACCACACCATCTTGGTCTTTATACCTTCGAATAATTGGATACGTTTAAAAACAAGACAACTCGTACTGCGGGCGAATGCACTAGATACAAGTTTGTGCAAATGTCCTTGCCAGTGATCTTTCAGTCAGGTCTCCATCGATATCATGCCTAGACATAAAAACATCCATTTTCACTTATTCTGATAAAAGCCCCAATGATTACCAAGATATAAGATTGGTAAAACGTTTATTAGTAGATAAAGACCAATGATAATTCTTATAAAAAAATATTTAAATTATTACATTAAATGCAATAATGCAATGACATACCTGTGCAATAGACCATTTCACCATCGGTCCACAAGCGCTACTGGCCCTATTCACTTTATCGAAGCTGTAATCAGGGTTACAGAGGTATTTCTTCTTCATAGTCTCACGAATATTATCACTAAATTGAAAATAATCAAAGAGCCAAATAAAAATAAAGTAAAAATGCAAGAATTTTGTAAAACATACAACAATAGTTGATATTTAGGGTAGAAAACTATGCAACAGTGGTCTAATTTGTGAGTTGGAAACGAAGTGGAATAAAAGAAGACAAAAAGTGTGAAAAAATAAACTCAAAAGAGAAAGAACCCTTGCGAAAAGGATTTTTAATAAGCATTACTTCTTATGATAGCTAATAAAAAGAATATGTGGATATAGCAAATAAGGTGAATGGAGTATAGGATAGTTT